GAATGGAGAAAGGAACGCGCAAATTATTATATAAGGGAATTAAGAGAACTAAAAACGCCACATTTTCAAAAAAAAAACTTACCCTGTTCAAAGGGCAAAAAAAAAAAAAAAAAAAAAGGAAAAAAAGCATTAGCCAGGAAAGGAAAATTGGGTCGTCATCAACATCCCTTTCCTTGCCTTTCAACATTTCCGTCACATCTTAAAAAAAAAAAAATATTCCAACGTTTTTAGGCTTACATTCCATTACCAAAAGCCAAAAACTTTCAACTGAAGGTGAGAATGAAGGGAGGTGGAGAGACAGAAGAAAATGTTTGGATATGAGTTCAGGAGAAAAAGCAACTTTCAGGAACCACAATGAATCATTCTGTAGAAATTATGAGAGGAAGATTTGAGAAGGATTAGAGAAGTAACTGAAAGGGAAGACAAGAGAAAGGCCGTAGAAATTCTCCGTTAAACTGTGCTGAGCTGTTTTTATGTTAAACATGAGTTGGCCTACTTTAATGAGGTGTAAACGTTTGATTGGTTCGAGATCACGTCGATAAACATAAAAAAAAAGCTACAAACTGGCGTGAGCAGCCGATTCACGGGGTGGGTTGGAGACTGTGTAGGTACCTACAAGTATCACGTCGGTATATGAGTTATTGGTCCTCGCGCCACCGGCCGGAGTTTGCAGAATTTTACCGACAAGGAGCACATGTGTATATCATCAAATTACCGACGAAGATTTTATCCGAACTTTAAATAATATAAATTATTGTAATTTTTACTGTTACTACATTTACAAATATGTTTCTTGTCGGTAAAATGCTCATTTACCGATAACAATTTTTACGTCGGTGATTTGGGGTCGGTGATTTTGAGTTTTCTTGTAGTGATTTAACGATGAACATGTGTAGTTTAATTTGGATACATCTTGTTCTCGTAAATTTATTTTAAATTGAATGTTTTTAGTTTAGTTAGGATTTGATAACTTTAATTCATGGTAGTATTTAAATTTTTGGAGTTATCTAAGATAAATTTCGTAACTCATTTTGCAAAAAAGCATCCCTCTCTCTTGTAAATCATCTATAGGTGTAAATTTCAATTTTAGTCCAATATTTTTCTTGCCATTTACAAGGAGGTCGGCCGCAAAGAAGGAGAGGGTTATTGGGAAATTATTCTTTCTTACTTTTAGTAAAATAAGTGATACATCCACGTACAAATTTCACACGTGCGAGGCTACTAAGAAATTTTTGGGGAAACACTAGCCTTGCGCAAAGGAAATCCTCCTGCAATGAACAAGGACCAATCTCTTTTCTTGGATCTTGCCATCGCCGCTGCTAAGGGACATTTGGTTCAACAAGGTCTTTTCAGTCTT